TGACTAATTCGAGGCTCAAGCCTCTGAGTGCCATCATCACCCTTTTTTATATATGGACCACGCCTCTAATTAAAGGTGAAGTATGTGCTGCTCATGGATAGAGTAAGAAGCCTTAAGATTGAGCCTTCGCTCAGATTTACCTCTGGGTGCTCATCGAGGCTGAGTTTAAGTGCTTCAATAGCTTTCTGAACTGGGATGTTAATATACATTGATACCACATAAAGTCTGACCAAAAGATCCTCCTCTTTAATACTCTGTTCATCTATTAATCTAGCAAATTCATATGAATTCTTCATTGAATATTTCAAATACTCAGCCAGTTTCCTTAGTTGTCTACATAAGAAGCTTCAGATCCTATGCATCACAGTACCCTTATTATTAACAATCAATCTTAAAGTACTCCTTCCTTGTGAATTTTTGGGAGGCCGTAAGCCGAAGGTGCTCTTACATCCCTCTGAAGAAATGAATTCATTTTCAACTTCCCAATTTCTCCTCTGCTTACACAAACGTTAAGCGATTCACTAAGTCTGGTCTTATAATTTTCTGTGGGATCCTTCAGTAAATGTCTGTATGTTTCCGAGTCAGTTAAATGAACCATCATTTTTTCTATACAACCTGATCTATTCATCATGACCACCTTTGTCTGCCTTTAAAACAAACAGATAATTTTGTTGCAAGTATCTAGAAACTTTATTCAAGTCATACGCATGCTGGTTTTATCCTTAACTTCTCCAATCATAGTTATAAAGCAAAGGTTGGTGTTTTAAAATCTATGATTATTCGTAGCATAAGACTAGCCGATGTAGACCATTGTGACGATGAAATGAATCATCTTAAAATAATATTCCTTGAGAATAACTATCCCTTAGGCTTGATTGAAAATAACATTGGATTAATAAAGAATAGCTTTTTGAATGGTGAATTTTGTTTTGTCTTTGCCTTCGTGCATTCTCTCTAAAAGGAGAGCTGAACAGGGTAGGGAGTGGGTAATAGAAACGGTATTCAGGGAAACTATGACACTTTCTTCAGTCATGCCCACTTTTGCACAGAATGTTGAC